TGCATTTGGGGTAAAATTGGGAGTTCATAACCCACTTCAATCTAATGTATGAAATATGATATGTCAAGAGCTTTGTAATGTTGTGAACAACCAATTAAAAAAAAAAGATTATTAACCTTTCAGTACTTTTGCTTGTTTCTTGAATTGAGGGCATTTTGGATTTGCGTTTAATAATTCTCTCCTTACATTAAAAGAATTAAGATCATAGACCAAATCTTATTGTTTTCCATAAATAAAGATATCATTAGATTTGATTTCCAAATAGCCTGTAATGATTAAGCTCCACACATCACAGTTGACTAATATAAAGTCTTGACATGAAGAGATCATGAACATTAAAGAGATCATATCTTGATTCCATGTAATGTAGATAAAGTAGATGGTTGTTATATAGATGTATACATTAGTCAATATCATTAACTTATATACATAAGAGCTACATATTTTATTGTATATGAAATATGCTCCAATAAAAATGACCACTGAAACAAAAATAAAATAAATGAGTGCATGAAAGGGATAATTCATGGCATAGTTCTCCTAGTTTTAATGGTCCTGTAGAGAGATGTACTGCAGAAGCAAGAGCAATCAACTTACAGGTAGTAAATGTCAAAATCAGCCCCACTGCCTTCCTCAGTCATTCTGTAAGCCCCTTTTTTGTGTGTGCAATACACAGGTAGTATGTGTAAATCCAACCAGATACACTTAAAGGGGTTTGAGATGTTCAAGAATGCAACTGGTACCTAACCAGCTTATTTATATCTTTGGAATAATGTTCCTATAGGGCTCAAATTGTCATTTGTTCCACAAAAACTCCTACTAACATACTCTGATCTATTGATTTTATTGCTTTACCCATGGGTTACCTCAATTTTGGCAATGATCATGGATCTCAATTCTTACTGTCAGTTCTGACATTACCCATTGTCATATAGGAATTTGGAACTAATAATACCTTGGAGATTTAGATGTTCTGTCTCTACACCTTATTCTGTATCTTTGCTTCTTTACTAGTCTTAAATTTTTTAAGTTAATTTTACTTTCAGTGTATGAGCATTTTTAATAATAATAATAATAATAATAATAATAATAATAATAATAATACAATAATAATAATAACAATAACTCACCTTTCAAAAATATGTGACAAAGAAAAAGCACATGAATCCTTTATGGGCTTTTATGCCCTCTGATTGGCAGCCCCCACCAGATGGACATAATTAACATGGAAGGAGAACACAGGGATCAAAAGAAAGTGAAGAGGCCTGCAGCAGAAGACCACATGAAAGGGATGCTTCTGAAATAGCTCTTCTTGGTCTCTGTGAGTTCCACAGAGGTAGTTCCACATGCTAGCTCTCATATATAATAAGAACCCTAATCTTAAATTCCTCTTTATTATTTTCATTTAAGCATAGGGATGCTTATCAACTTAACAGGTGCATCTTAATTTAGAGGTGCTGCACGGTCTCTGTATATTATTACCTGGCTCTATTAGTTACTGACATTGTGATTTGGGGCAAGTCAGTTAGCCTCTGTGGTTCAGTTTGCTTATCTACAAAATGGGAATAAAAATACTATAATTAATAGAACTATGGTGAAAATAAAAATGAATTGATTCTTGGAATAATATTTAGTATATAGTCAATGCTATGTGTTTTAAAATAAATTCAATTTAACATTACACGCAAACCCTGAAATGCAATCAACTGGGTTATTGTCTTGATTGTCCTTTGCCTACCTACCACATGAATCTATATCATAGATATGATAATGTTTTCCTTTACTTTCATGACAAATTTTCTTTTTAATGATATATTTAACTCAGTTCTTACAGACAATAGGAATTACATTTTAAGTTATTCCCTGTTTCATTCAGTAACTATTTTAGTTGAGTCCATTTACTTTGATTGTTCTTCATGACACTTCCCCTCATGTCAATTGTTGTTATTCCCCATCTATCTTTACTTTCTTTTAATCCTTGTGCTCTCCTCCTATCTTTATCATGTCTATCTGGGGATAGCGGGGCCTGCTAATCAGAGTGCCATAGATTGACTTTATCACAGTACTTCATCATTATGACCAGAGACTTGTTTGGGCATGGAGTACTAAATTGGACCAGTCAGAATTCTCCCTTGAAATTTTTACAAGCTGAGAAAAGGCCCTTTGAATTCTTAGGTCTAAAAGTATTTGAGTCCAGAATAACTAGCAACTATGATCCCTGCCATGAGGATAAAACCCCTATACAACAAGAGAGAATAAGGCAGGATACTCTTACAAGCAGAAAAAAATCCATGGAGAGATTCCTGCTGCTGTTCCAAATCCCACATTCCAGTTACCATCACTAAGATATCTTGTTCTGACCTTGCATATTCTGTTTATGTGAGTCCCTAAATTCCATACTGTTCTCTCCTTTTTCTGTTGTTTTTTACTTAAGCTAATTGGATATTTCATGCAATAGAGTTTCGTGACTTAGACAACACTTCTTTTTTTTCAAGCAACCACTTTTCTTTATATATTTGGAGATTTTTAAATGTTTCTTCATTGTTTAGAAAAGATTGTTTAAAAGTCATCAACACTAATTTCATATGGACAGGGGCCATGTCTGTCTTATTAATCACTGTATCCCTAATATTTAGTATAGTGTATTCTGGCATAAATAAGATAGGTGTCTGGACTTCTTCTCCAATGAATCAAACAGAAGCTGCTTTCCCTAAAGCATGCTCTGAGGAGTTAACAGATGGTTTTCTTCTAGGTACAGTAGACAGGACCAAAGTTGCAAGCAGACCTCCCATTAAGTGGGCTAGATAAAGTGTGCTAGATAGTGGTGGTGCTTTAGTGGGTAGGAGTGAACTCTCATTCACTTGGCCTTATCCTATCCATCGGACACCTCTATAATTATCTCTGGTAGAAGAGATATTTAGCACTTGTCTACTGGCACTGATTTACCTCACTGAGAATTCAGAAATAGAGTCAACTTAGACTTAAGTTTATTATATTGGTTCCCCAAACCAATAAATGTGAATTAAATAGACCATCAACTGTTAATATAAAAATATATTTGTTATAAAAAATTAAGTATACTAGGATATTCCATTCTGCAACAGTTTCATTTATCATGATTTCTATTGTAAGAGTATGTTTATGTTATATTTTTTATTCATGCATCATAGTTAATATAATTGTGGACTTAATTTTGACACATTCATAAGTGTATATAACATAATTTGCTCACTTTCAATCCCTAATATTACTCCCTTTCTCCTTCTCCCTCTTTCAGATTCCTTTTGCCTACTCTATTGGTCTTCTTTCTGTTAATTTATTTTTTAAAATTGGTACATTATACTTATATGTAAAAGTGCAATTAATTGTGACGTATTT